GAGTCCCGCACCTTACCACTCAGCTATCCTGCGCCGTTATCTTCCTCTCTTTCACTAGTCTCTGCAAGAGGAAAAAATCTCGAACTTTCGAAAAATGAATAAGTAGGATTTATCTCATCAAGGAAGCATCTGAGAAAGCCATGGCTGGAACAAAAAATGTTCAGAATTTGTTTCCGCATCTAATAGAACTCGTACGTTTTACGAAAAACTCATAGTTAGCGAAACGCTAATTTTAATAATCAGCATGTTTTCATCGTGAAGAATACATTTGACAAACTTGGTTCCAAGATCAAAAATGACAGAAATGAAATTTCGCACATTTTTTCCGCTAGTACCAACTTTGTAGGATTTGATCTTCAATGTACGATCGTTGATTTTACTGAGCCTAGAAGAAACGTATTCTCGCTGCAATAAATTACTTTCTTGTATAGAATCGTCAAAATAGATCTCCTTGCAACAGCATGGTTTCTTGCAGCAAGAAACACCCAAGTAAATGTATATCTTGATTCTTGCCCAAGAAATAGTTTTCTTGCCGTAAGAAATGTACAAGAAAGCCCAAGAATTATTTCTCGGCTAAGAAATGTCCCAAGCTCTTGCTTTCTTGTCTTCAAGAACTTTCGCTAGGGACACTGTACACAAGGAAGTAGCCTACCAACCGAATTAGAATCAGTATGTACGATAGTCATTGTGTCAGGCTTTATAGTCTGCTAGGTCTAGCTTTCCGATTTCTGCGAAAATTGCCACGCTTTGCACTTGTCTGAAAGGGCTAAAAGCTCACTTTTTCCATAGTGCACGCCTCTTACATTATAGTGCAAAGTTCTCATCACTCCTTCCTCACTACTGGATACTTTCCTTCTCAACCATTCACTAGTTACTATCTACAGCGTCTGTCCGATATTTCATTCAGTTACAATGTCAAAAATATATTGGTTCGTGGTCTCCGTTACAACTAAAACGTTTTTTTGATATTGCTACATTCGTGCATTGTATCATTTCCTTGAATGAGTTCTGAACATATACGATATCGTTTATGCGTTTTAGAATTTGAATTATAGTGATCAAACTGTTGACAGGATGATCATATGAGTATTTTTAGTGCTAGGGAATACAGTTTGATTTTACATTGTATACATTTTAAGTTTATTAGAACGTAATAATTTTTCATGATCTTTATCATCTCCCATGTCAATTTGTACATTTATGGCATCGGAAAAATTTTGTAGCATCATACTTTTTACTGTCGTTATTGATGGATATTCTTTTAATAATGAATCGCTTTTTCATCTATATTATTTGCTAGACCAATACAAACAACAGAAAGCGGAATCGACGCTCGTTTTACTAACTGAACTTTGAATGTAGCACCTGCTACTACTCTTGGATAAATACCAATTCTTTCCATAAGTGTAAATGTTAAGTTCCATGTAGGTGCAAGGATTAAATTACCGTTGTTGGCTTTCCTTTATTGTGATAAAACAAAATTATTACACCGATAGGAGAATTCTGCAAACTAACATTGTAACGGGCAAAATACTTGTGTCACGTGCTTACTGTTAAATTGATTTATTTTAATTGATAAATAAATCTTCTCTCTCCCACTTTCAAACACATCCCTCCTATCTCTTCATGACTATGGACGATCATTGCGAACACTGTTGATTTTCACATTTTTCACAGATAATTTGTCCATATTTATCATTGAACGTTCCGGGAGGACACGGCTGTTTTACTTGTGTGACATCCGGGCAATAGTGACCTACGGGACAATAATCACAAAACGTCGAACCTATGTATGGCATAAAATATCCAACTGTACATGGTGTGCAGATAGTTTGTCCAGAACGACTAAATGTTCCAACAGGACATTTTTTGGGCGATACAGCAGGATCATTGCAGTACGAACCATGGGTTTGTTCAGATATAAGGACTGACACAACGTGTTGAAATAACAGAGCCTTTAAATGATCATCTCTTCAACAAACAAAGACTTTCTTGATTACAAATAAGAAAGAGCCAAGACAGCTAGAAGAAAGTTGATTGCACAATAAGCGAATCCGCCCAAGGTGGACAAATATCACACAAGGCTTGTCCCAAGGTTTGCGAATAATTTCCTGTAACCGTTTATAAATCACGTATGCTTGTCTTTTATAAGGTAACGGGAGACAAATCTTTATTTGGTTAGACAAGGTCCACTGTCTATAGAAGTGAGATGCCAAAAAGTAGTTGCCAGTAGTAGAGCTTTTTTGTGAATAACCTCGCTACTCCACATCTTTTACAGTGAGACTGACTCATCTCGTTGTTTGCTTCGCCGAGACGGCAAGGTTTCGGCAAAGAAGCCGCATCATCACAAAAGTGCCCTGGAGGACAATCCAGACAGTGAGTTGAACCGTTATCTGTTGTATAATGGCCGATAGCACAATTTGCACAAGATATTTGACCACGTTGGTCATTAGCCTGTCCTAAAAATAGCAAAAGACGCAACGATTAATTTGACCTCTAATAATAATCTGAATAAGATTAATTACCTAGCGGACATGGCAATGGCGAAAGATGGGCATTAGGACAATAATATCCTGCAGGACAAATGGTGCAGTATGTTGAGCCTGGTTTTATTGCATGAAATCCGCTTTGGCATGGTGTACAGACACTCTGACCAACATTGCTGAACGTTCCCTGAGAATGTTCACGAACGATATTCGATTATAGCAATAAATCGATGTACATAGTGAAAAATAAATATAATACGACGCTATTAATAAATGACACTTCGCAGGGCATAGAACTGGTTGAGCTGTTTTGATACTTGGTGGACAGTAGGAGCCAGCTGGGCAATCCTTGGTATCTGTATAAGCGTTTCTAACGACGACTGATAGTATTAGACACATTAGGATTACAGACCGCCGATACATAATTTAAGATTTTCTCTCTTGCTTTACTATAATTGCGAAATGATATAAACAACATGTTGGACTGTCTCTGTTCGAAAAGTGTTTGTAGTATCTAACTGTCTGACCAAAAGATGAAATCGATTTTTCAAGCTCTAAACTGCTGTGGTTGAGCAACCCCTCCTAAAAGTGCACGTATTTAGTTACTTACATGTGTGTGTATTGAGTCTTTCAAATTTAACAGACAATATCGAGAATATAAAGATATTACTTAAAATAAATTGTTGTCACTGTGAAAAATACGCTATTATACCAACTGTTATAATTGTCAATTCTAGTCGTTGGTTTTTTCCATGCAATTTCAGCTTTTTATCTTGTTGTTGTGCATATTTGACGTCATATTTTGTTTCGTAATGTTGGAAGATAAGGAGTCAGGTAATGTATAGTTCCATTTTATTATAAGAAAGACAAACATCTGAATGACGGCAGAAGTAGATGCACACAGTTTGGTTTTCTACCTTGACTTTTATCACTCTTTCAATAAAATAGAAATATACTCACTTGACTTCTTATCTTCCAACCTTACGAAACAAAAGATGATGTCAAATATACACAACCACATAAAGCTGAAATTTGGTACCTTGGAAAAAACCAGCAACTGGAAACCACAGATAAATCAGATTTTGTGCGAAACCGAATATTTCGGTACGTTTACCTCAGAATAAATTTCCTGTACATGTTTGTTTAATCAAACCGCATATTCCGTTGAACACAATAATCGAAATATTCGGTTTTGACCGAAACCTGATTCTGTACCTTTACTTTCAGTCGGATGTCTTTCTCTTGGAACTACAGTGTGGCATACTTTTTAACGTGCTATAAAGTAAGAGAAATTAAACGCACAAAGTAAAATAAGCTATTTGTCTTACAGCAAGTTTGTCCAAAAGGCTTTTTTGAACTTATCTTGTAAAATTTCTAGCTTCAGGCAGTAAAACGCAGACGATGATATTGCAGCTGCACATTTAACGAGAATAATCTGAAAGTTCAGCTCAGATTCTATGAATGTCCCGAAATGCAAGTTCTTAATGATTCGCGTTTCAAGTCAAATATTAAGAGTTTTATGAATTTATCGGGAATGTGAATGGTGGGTAAAGATATGTTCCTCAGAATCATCACTGCAGGCGAAATATAACATAGTACACCGAATGAATGTTCCATCGATCTCACTGAACCTTTTAATTAAAATTTATCGTTTATATTTATTAAATTTTTCCGAACAAAAATTCAAATTCATAGTTTGACTGGAAATTTTTGGTCTTAATGCAGATAAAAACACAACGGTGTGATGAGTGATGGAAATATTCATATTGCCTTTGGTTACTCAGTCTTACCGTAAAAGGAGTCCAACAAAGATATAAAAGCTTATTCAAACGTGGTTGGTATTTTACAAGTAAAAATGGGTTCAGCTGACATGACTATTTATATAAAATAAGCTAGAGAGAAAAACAGGATAAATATTCGAATTTTAAACAAAAGAAGCCACACCATGTGTCTTGAACAAAAATAGGAAGCGAAATAGATTATCATAATGAATAAAAAGAAGGGAAATACTGGAAGTTTGAATTTCCGGCACCTTAAAAGAATTGTAATTTACAATTTATTATTATTCTCCTATTAAATTATCCTTTTGCAATTGGCAATATTAAAAATTGTAAATAAGTTTGAACACAACGAACATTTTCTAAAGAGAGCAAATGTTCTCTTTTTCGCATCTTGATAAAGATTAACATATGAAAAAAATTACTTTTTTCACATTATCTTGACAAGAATATTTTTGTGTTATTCAAAATGAAATGAACATGAACACAGAGTCGTCAATAGGTAATGAGGACACTATCATTTACTATCTACTTTCTTTTGAAAAATTTCAGTTCTTACTTACCATACCATAGAAAGTTAGTGCCACTTATTTTGCCTGAATTTGCGATTCATCAAAACAAATTGAATTGTTTTTTATTTTTTAAAAAGGTATATAGTATTCAGTAAAGGGAAAAGAAAATTAACTAAATAAAAAAATTATTGTCTGTGTAATTCATACGCTAAATTACTTCATTTTTAATCATTCTTCGTAACACTTCCATAACTTTCTCTGTATTCATCTGGAGTAGTATGTTCATTGTTTGAGCCTGCCAATGCTACAGATAAATAATTGTGCGTTGCATTGCCAACATATCGTGCATAATCATTGCTGATTCCTTGTTCTTGTACGTCAACCCAGCTAAAATGAGAGGAAAGGTTCATCTTTCTTACAAAACTCCTCATCTTTCCATCTGGAAAGTGTTGCCTTTCCCAGGTCCTGGCCACGCGTGGGCGTCCAGCAATTTATTTTGGACTCTAACGTGGACCTGCATGCATTTAAATGCATGGAAGTACCCTGTCAATGCATGAATCCACTTAGGAATCCATGCGAAGGCACGCATGGATATGCTCGTCGAATTCCAACGCGTGGACTTCCATGAATCATAACGCTTGGCATTTAACTCTCAGGCGTTAACATACGTGAAAATTGGATATCACGCGTTACCATTCATGGGAGTCCACGCGTTGCAATTCGACGAGCATATCCATGCCTGTCTTCGTATGGATTCCCAGGTGGATCCATGCATTGACAGGATACTTCCGTGCATTTAAACTTTTGCAGGCCCACGTTAGAGTTCAAAGTAAATTGCTCGACACCCACGCGTAGCCAGGACCTGGGAAAGACAAAATTTTCCAGATGGGTTCATCTCTGTCATTAAAGTATATGGGCAAAATCATTTGTTAGCGATGTGATTTCGAAAAGATCAATTTACTTTTCGTTTGCGATGTGACACTTTTGTCAGCGACATGACGGAGTATGACTACGCAATGGAAAAAATGCTTTTATAATCGATGAAGAAGTTTCAAACCGATTCCAAAGCGTAGAAATCTTTCTTCATGATCTGTAGATGATAGTAACACAAAAATTTCTGTTTCGGAACCTCATCGGACCTCCAGAGGGTCGGTTTTTATGGGGGAGAATTTTTTGTATTCAATCTCGCCGAAAATTTTACCATAAATGTAGTTTGTGCCGTATAGTCTATCCTGGAATTTTTGAATTTTGTTCTCATGTGGTTAGAGAAATAAGCGCTAATTACTAATTAACTAACTAACTAATTAATTATAATTAATAGTCAGCTGAAAGAGGAAACATTTTTACATATGTCTATGTTAAAAGACCTTATTCCGGAAAATAGCTCTTGTGAAGAATCAAAAACTAAAGGAGAAGGAGGTATGTCCAATTCTGCCTGATTTTGCCCATATATAGGATAGCAGAAATACTTGTAAATGTAACAGATTATCATTTCTCTAGCCATGCTCCTTCCATAACGACCATTTTCTCTATGGTTCCTGGAGTATTTCAATTTTAGATGTACAACTGATCTGCACTGATTACCGCTAGGTTGAAATTGTAAAAGACACGCAACTTACTCTTTAAATTTATCTGCAAGTCCCCAATCACGAATTGTAGCTGCAGTTTGTTTCGCTTTGAAATTTGTTTGAATTGCATATGTATATACTCGTTCTTCTTCACTGTTTAAATGCAATTTAGCTACAACTCGCTGTTTATCATTAATATCTAAGAAAAATGCATCGTTTACTGTTGCTCCTCCGTCAGAAGTAAATTTAAATTGATGTGGTTGATAATTAAATGTTTGTTTATATTCAATATTAATTGGACGTTTCTTGTAATTTTTCAACTTTAAACGAATTTCAAATGTTGTACGTGTTAATGTTAAATTTGTTTGTATTGTATCAATCTCAGTTACAATTGATTTTTCTTTATGTGAATGAAAATAATGAATATCAGCATCTTCACCTAACTGAAATTCATACGTAGCATTTGCGGCTAAATTTGGAATTGATGTTTCACCAACGATATAATGATCTTCACGTACAATTGCTGATCCAGATGAGAGATATTGGTCAGAAGTAAGACGATATGATTTTGTTGCTTTACCTAAACGCAATCAATCAATTTATTTATTCAAAATTACTTTGAGAGAGACAGTGAGATCAGCTAATTGCTTTAAGCATTGTGGATGAAGTGAACGCAGAGTGATGGCACACATAGAATTTTAAGTATGAATTGGAAACTTCCATTCATTTTTACCTGAAATCAGAGATGGAAGATATTTGAAGTCAGCAATTTAGTTTTGTTGGGCAAAAGAAAAGAACACTATCGAGTACCTCGAATTCAGTATTAGATTGATTAATCATCCATGTTCTGAGTCAAATATCTATTTTTATTATTTATTCTTTTGATTGGCTTAAGGGCCCCCCCCCCCTCAGAAATGGTGATCTTCGGTCAAAAAATCGGTTTTGAGATACACACATGGAAAGATAGCCTGAAGTGTCTACTTCCAGAATCTGTATTGCTTTTGGTTACAAACTGATTTCTCGGGGATTTTGAGCAAGTTTTCCAAGAGCCTCGAAAAAATGGGTCTTTAAATAATGGTTTTTTCCTGGATACTTATGCAATTAAAATTTTTTTGAAAACACAGCTTTGCAGAGCAAATGTTTCTGATCAAAATAAGACCTCGCACAACTCTGTATGACCTTGCATCAAAAAGTTACAGGCATTTTCCTAGAAGTCCTAAAATCGAGTATTTCATACAGCGTTTAATAAAGCGTTTT